CTCTGCATTTCTAAGAAGGCACTTCATGGCCTGGAGAAATGGCCCAGTGGCTAAGAGCACCTGTTGCTCATCCAGAGGACCCAGATTCAGTTCCCAGCCACCCATGTTAGGCAGTGACAATGACTTGTAACTTTAGCTCCAGAGAATCCGATGCCTTTGGTCTCTGAAGGCACACACATACGCTTAGCCACACACACACAGACACACACACACACACACACACACACACACACACACCACACACAAATAATAAACAAACAAAATCCTAAGATGAGTCTAGAAAGGCAGACTCATTAGTATCTCAGAGAGATACTTGCAGCCTAGGTGGATATCATAGCCAACAGTGTCAAAGGTGTAAGCATTGCAGCTCAGATGAAAAAGGATCCTGGGAGTCAGGAGCCCAGGGAAACTAGAGTCACCCAAACACAGCAACTTACAGCCCTTCTCCAGGGAAAGGTTTCCCCAATGTAACAACTCCAATTGTCAGGGGAGGGTTTCCCAGTAAAGTTGTTACATTTCTGCTCGCCCCTCCCTCTAGTGAAAGCTGTTACTTCTCTGTTCCCATTCCTGGGAAAGGTCTTCCTCAAACCTCATTCAGGAATTTACCGGGATGGAAGAATCCAAGCGGGTGGCTGCCTGTGCCCGGGTGGAAAAGGTGGCCCCCACTCAGCAGGTACAGGGCTTATATAGGGCTTCTCAGAGGTAGAATTTTTCCAGTGTAGGAATTGTTCAAACTCCAATCCCTAAACTTGGACAAACTCACAGACTGACAAGATTTCGTGCTCAGGGATTGGTTGGTTTTCCTGCTCAGGGATTGTTTATTTGTACTGAGTTGGCCAGGGATGGAGTGTGTTTCTTTCACTGGCCCTTTTAAACCTCTTGTCCCCGGTCTCAGGGTCAGGGTGTGTTTCTTTGGCTGTCCCTTTTACCCTATAGAAGGCAGGTGGGAACCCAGTCTTCTTTGTTGATGAAAGTTGTGAAAATTACTTTCGGGTTAAAAGGAAGTTAAAATCAAAAGCAAAAACCATCCTTGTGGCTGCTGGGGAGCGGAGGACGTTTTCTTCTGTGGTGTAGCCACTAAGGTGCCTGTACTCCTGTAAATAAACTCTTGCCTGTGCTTCTGCAAGCAACGCTAAGGAAACTCATCGGTTCACAAAAACATGAAAACAGAGGATGAGTTGGGAAGAGGGAGGGGATCAACAGGAGTGGGAGCTGGCCAGAAGGTGATGGGAGACCAATATGATCAAAATACACAATACACAAGTATGGACATGTCATAGTAAAATCCATTGTTATATTAATGAATGTGTAACAATACAAACTTAAGCCAAATTATCTTTTAGCATCAGTTTATTGTTTTCAAAAGGGAAATTTGCAAACCAGAATTAAATGACTCCTCCAAGCCCCTATACACAGTGATCATACAATAACTGAACTTGCATCTAGCTCGCTCTGTGTACCTGACAGTGTGGGATGAGCTAAATGACCCCACAAGAGTGACTATTGAGGGACACAGGGACAGTTTTGTGAATAAAGGCACTTGCTGCTAAGCCTGATGACTTGAGTTCCGTCCCCAAAAGCCACACGGTGAAAGGAGAGAATTGAGTCCCCCAAGTTGTTCTCTGACCTCCACGTGTTCTTGCTGTGGTATTTGTACACACACACACACACACACACACACACACACACACACACACACGAACAAACAAATAAATGCAATTTAACATTGTAAAAGGGGGCACTTGTCTCCACTCCTTTCTTCTATGGCTGCTATTCAGTCACACGGACCAAGCAGTCCTGTCTCTTCAAGTCAGTCCCTACAAACTGCAGCCAGCTCTCTACCTAGGATGGCGGTTAATATCAGTTCATAGAGATGGGGTTCTCTGAACAAGGCTCTGGTGGAATGAAATGAAGGATGTGTCACAGTAAAAACCACTGTAGTCAGTCTCTCTGGTAGACACAGGAAGGAATAGCTCTCAGCCTGTTGCTGCCGTCATCGTCACCGGTGCCATCACCTTTTGATGGTGTAAATTATGTATTTCAAACATGGGGATATGTGTTCGCATCCCATGCCCTTCCAACAATGTGTGTGGTACCCAACCACTGAGATGTGACAGCTGTTTTCCCTCCCCTTGGATCTAGGCTGGGCTTACCACTGTTGGACATGACTGATGCCCAGGACTGATGAAAAGGACTCAGCCCCTTCCCATCTCTTTCCCCCTTCCCAGCTCTCAATGCTCACTGTAGGAATCTAGTGAGGAACTCTGCCAGGGCCCACCTGGAAAGACAACACGGTAAGGGCCTCTCAGCCAGCAGACAGCCTCCACCATCAGGCATGTGAGTTTGGTGAACTTTCTGAAAATCCCACCCCAGGCTTCTAGGTTTCCCACTAAAGCCCTAGTCACTGTGTGTAGTGAGAATGTAGGTACCTGTGGCGCTGACCCCGCCCATTCGGATGTGGTCACAGGTAAGCGGGTGGGATTTTGGTCGAAGAGGACAGGCTTGCTCTCTCTGGGTTCTGGTCAGGTCTTGGACGGCAACTGAGATTGGATGCTCAGAGTGCTGACCCTGGGTCATCGGTTTCTCATGTAAGTGATTTCTCCCCATTAAAATTAACCCACATCATCCCAATCCCGAGTATTGTGATTTGTACTGCCACAACTGTGAAGCAGAAACAAGTCATTCATCTCTACACTATCCTGACCAACTTCCAGAATCCATGCATTTCATAAATGTTTGTTTTAAGTCACTAGGTGTGGAGGTCTCACTCAGCCACAATCACTGGACCGTGTGCAGGCACGTGGGGCACAGAAGTGCCATCCATCTGAAGAAAGGAAGTGTCTAAACCTAGAGCATCGATTGTGACTTTGCAAACATCTGTCAGTGGTCCAGTGTGATGGGAGAATGTCCTTCTGTATGCTGTGAATATATGTTTCTCTTATTGGTTTAATAAAATGCTGATTGGCCAGTAGCCAGGCAGGAAGGATGGGTGGGGCTACCAGACTAGGAGAATGCTGGGAAGAGAAGGCAGGGAGGAGCTGCCAGAGAGATGCCATGTAGCTACTGGAAAAGTAGGTTGTCCAGGCATTCTCTGGTAAGATAAGGCCATGTGGAAATACATACATTAATAGTTATGGGTTAATAATTAAGAGGGAGCTATCCAGCAAGAAGCCTAAGCCTTTGGCCAAACAGTTTATAATTAATATAAGCCTCTGTGTGTTTATTTGGGACTGAAGTGTGGCAGGACTAGGGGGAAAAGAAACTCCGTCTACATCGGTGCTTGACCTCTGAGCTCTGCAGTCTAAGAAACACTGCCCAAAGTCACCTTCCCATTCTCTGGACTAGTTTATTGTATCTTCCCCTCTTCAAGCCATGCCCTAGGTACATGATAAGTGAAGGTATCAAACTGTTACTATAAAATCCATCCTTTATCTCTCTTCTCTTGTATCGTCTCAGTGGGAGGATGGTAAAGGTTTTTTTGTTTGTTTGTTTTGTTTTTTAATTTAAATCAAATCTGTAGTGGCCTTTTGTATGACTCAGTACATGAGGTGTAAAGTTCAATACATGTATGTATTGTTACATACATGTACCCAACAGTGTGTGCTGGCTAAAAGTAGTATGTGTTCAGGAGTAAAATAAAAAGTAAGAAAAAAAAAACCAAAAACTCCAAAGCATGCAAGAAATAGAAGTCCTCCCATGCTCTCTTCTCACACCCAGGCCTAAGTAGATTGACACCCAGGGGGACAGTGCACCACCCTGCACACACCCCCATACAAGACAGCTTGGTTTCAAATCTTCATTTTGACTTCAGAGTTTTTTTGTGAAAGTTCACAAATAGCCATTTAAATTATCTAACACATAGAGGACAACAATGAGTTCTCACCACCACCATCACCAATGTCACCAACGTCACCACTGCTGCTGCCATCATCAGCAATGACCTCTGTAGCCTTGATGGAGTTAAGAAATTGGCAATGGCAGAAGAAGCCTAAAGTTAGAGAGAGGTTTCTCAGATCAAAGTTGAGGAATATCCAGGCCTGTAGCATTACGGCTGTGACAGCTCATAGTGGAGCTTGCCTCAGGCCACTCCTGCCTATCTATTAGGAGTGCCCTGGCCCTATACATTTAGGGGTGCCCTGACTAGGCAGGGTGGTGGAGTTCAGTGTTGCCAACCACATTTTTGAGAATAAGAGAATCAAAAATAATTAAACTCTTTTATACAATATTAAAATCAGCAACAGCCCAGCCTTTCGCCTTTCATAGCATTTTATGAGGCTGTGTCTAAGCATGTGTCTAGTTTCTCATATTTCTCTACGTGGCCCACAGTGGTTAGCCGTGCAGATGCTCACTGAGTGACTGTGCTGTAGCCGGCCTCCACCCACAGGGTAGCATCAACAGAGGGTACAGTGCTCTGTCTGGGCTCATATGACAACTCTGCCTCTTCCAACATCATTAGGTATGGTTAATAACTCAAATTTTCATTTTGTATCAGTCTGGATGCTTCTATATCTGTCAGATTTCAATAGAAAAGGCTGACTGAAAATAACTTGGCTGGTAAGGAAAACTGACTTCCTTACCTAAACAGAAGCAGGAAGGAGTTGTTACGATAAATCTTTCCGCCATAAGCTGCCGAGCCCCACCGCCACGGGTACACTTTATGCCAGCCGCCCACCAGAGTTAGGGCCCAAATCACAGGGAGACTTGTATTAGGTACAAATGCTGCTTGGCCAATTACTGGGATTCCTCATCTGTTAGCTCAGTCTTAATTATCACAAACCTATATATTTTATAAGACTTATCTTATTGAAGATGCTTTTTGCTGGCACCCTCTCTTGCCGGTGGCTCACATGGTGCCACTGGAGGAGGAAGGGGGAAAAAGAGAGCACTTCCTGTTTCCTCGCTTAGATATGAGTCTCCTTGCTATGTCACTTCCTGCCTGGATCACCACTTCTCTACTACATTTCCCAGAGTCCTCTTTGACTCCTAGTCCTGTCTAACTTGCTGCCATTGGCCAAACAGAACTTTATTAAACAATCAATAAGATAAACATACACAGAAGTACTTCCCCCATCAGGACTGTCAGCTAGGGATTTACTATGGATCCAACAGCTTTCCCAGGAAAACAAAAACAAAAACTTTCCCTCAAGACTTTACCTTATTTCTCTTCGGTCCAAGTAGGGCCATGTGGCCAGATCAAACCCAAGTGCTGACAACAAGAGGGGAGTTACCAGGATCAACTTAGTGTTCACTTGGAGATTAATCCAAGTGGGTGGACCTGGGAGAATAGAGAGGAGAAATTACTGCTGTGACTAATTCATTTCCCTTTTTTATTCCCAGTGGATTCTTCAACTGACACATCCAACCGGACATCACATTTGATATAATTGAGTGAGTGGGTTGAAACAAAGGAAGAGAGAGAGAGACACATTACGGCCTGTTGACATGTTCTGTGGGCTTTAGGAACAGTGTTTGTTTAGTTTTCAGTTAGTTGCTGTACTAATCTGCTTTCTGTCACTGGAACAGGCTCAGCACTGTATAAGAAGGGAGTCTAGTTCAGTCTTATGCAGGTTCCCCATTTGTCAGACCTGAGTCACTGATCTCTCACTAGCTGGGGTCAGCTGATCCTGTGGGTTTCCCCACCATGGTCTTGGCTCCTTTGTTCATGTTATCACTCCTCCCTCACTTTGACTGTACTCCAGGAGCTTGGCCCAATGGTTAGTTGTGGATTTCTGCTAGACTTCCTAGGGGTGGTGGCCTTACCCTCACTGAGGAGCAGATGGGAGTGGGGGGGGAGCAGGAGGAGACAAGGGAGGGGAAGTGGGATTGGAATGTAAAAAATAAATTAATTTTAAAAAAGAAATACAAAAGGTATGTTTACTTCACAGACACATATCACAGCACGGCAGAGAACAGAGGGAGACACCCCCCCCCGTGTTCCATAACAGAAACCTGGGGCATTAAGACAAGCCCCACGTGACCTCCTCTTAAAGTTCTGCCTCTCATATCACCGTATCAGGGGCTGACACAGACATGGCAGTTGTCAGCCTTAAAAAACTGAAGATGAGGAGTTGGAGAGATGGCTCAGCAGTTAGGAGGACTGTCTGCTCTTCCAGAGGATCTGAGCTCTATTCCCAGCACCCACATGGTAGCTCACAAACATCCTTAACTCCAGTTCAAGGGATCTGACACCCTCTTCTAGCCTGCTCTGGAGCCAAGCACCTGTGTGGTACACAGATATACATGCAGGCAAAACACCTATCTGTGCACCTAGAAATGTTTTTTGTTTTTTTGTTTGTTTGTTTGTTTTTTGTTTGTTTGTTTTCATTTTCTCCAAACAGGGTTTCTATGTGTAACAGTCTGGCTGTTCTGGAATTTGAGGCCCAGGTTGGCCACAAATGCACAGAGATCCGTCTGCTTCTGCCTCCCCAGTGTTGAGATGAAAAGCCTGTGCTACCATGCCTGGTGAAAATTTTGTTTTTAAATTAAGGAAAAATTGAATCTGAGTGTGGTGGTGCATGCCTGTAATCACAGTACTGAGGCTAAGGCAAGAGGATTGGTCCATGTTTGAGACCAGCCTGGTTTATATACTGAGATCTTGTTTAAAAGAAAAAAATCAATATTTAAAACTATTTCATATTTTTTAAATCTGTATTTCTGGGGTCTGGGGTTGTAGCTCAATTGGTGCAGTGTTTGTTTAGCATGCCTGCTGTGCCTGTAATCCTGGCACCTGGAAGTGAAAACAAGAGGGACAGAAGTTCAATGTCACTGTCAGCTACACCATGAGTTCAAGCCCATTCTGGGCTATGTGAGGCTTGAGACCTTGTCTACATAGAATATAATATAATATAAT